AGTACTCTTCAGATAAAAACTTTGAAAGTTCTTGGTAAACAATGATAGATGATGGCATTGGGTCACTCCCTCTATCAATTTTAGATGAAGAAGTAAAAGAAGAGGATAAGTAGAATTTTCTCAGAAGCCACAGGGCTAACATTACTTGACATAAAATATACAAATTCCTTTTTTTCTTCATTGATTGATTAGCTAAAGTAAAATAAGTACTGAATTCTCCACTTTGCAAGATAATTATTGTTAATACTAATGGACAGATGGAACAAAATATGCATGTATTTTAAAATGGTAATAAAATGGGGGGCACTAAGCATCTAATTAAATGAGTTGATGAGTTACTCTTACCAGTGGAAATAGTATTCCAACACTGATTTTCCCAATTCTAAAAGTAATTGCTTCTCAACTCAGAGAGCTTCATTGTTTTCTCATAATTGTAATATCTACTTTTGTATTTTGTCTAAAAGAAAAAAGCATAATTTCCAGAAAAATAAAACATCTAATAGTCAGTGTGGAAACAGCTTCAATTCAACATGATGCTGCTATTCTTAAAGGTCTGTTCATATTATCCCTCTTTGCTCCTATAGTATGTAGGTAGAATCACATCTTAACAATCTTGAAAAATTAGGAACAAAGTGTTATCCAAGAAGAAATATATTATGTGCAAAAATAAATCTGCAGAATTGCATGTAGAAAATAAAGAACAAAATTGGCATAATGATGAATGATGCATCATATGAACATATATAAAAAATATACCTGTTACCAGTAAAGATATCACTCAAAGAAGATATAACAGAAACAAATACTGCATCCCATCAAAATTAAACTATTCTGTAACTCAAAGGATGCTGTTAATAAAGCTATCCATATGTATTTATTGATATAGGCTCACTGAAGAGAGTTTCTTCATTTAATGGTAGAACTCAGAGATATTCAGCATTCAGTTGATGTGACATAATAACCAAGAAAACTAGTTGTACTTATAAGGAAGGAGGATTTAGTTTGGATCACCGTTTTAGATGGTTCAGTGCACAGTTACTTTGTGTTGTTGTCTTGGATGTGCTCTGATAACATACATTCTAGTGGGAACATACTCTTTAATTGCCCTATTTAAAATACAGCAAAGAAGTGGAAAAGGAGTTGCAACAGAATTTCAGTTATTGTGATTAAGTTGTTGAGAACAAGCAACTTAAAAGAGGATTGCTTTACTGTATTTTAAAGTTTGAAGGAGTGTAGTCCATTATGCACTAGATGGTATGACAGCAGGGAGCATGAAGTTGTTGGTAACATTGTACTTGCAGTTAGGAAACTGAGAACAGACAAGGAGTAGGGCCAGGCTATAAAGACTGAAATCTAATCCCTATGAGAAATGCTTCCTGTGATTGTCTGTCCTTTATAGATTCCACAAATATCAAAATGATACTCACTGCCAGCTAGAAAAAAAAATTATTCAAACACGTGAGCCTATAGGAGACACTTGACATTAAAATTACATTATATTCCTGGATCACACAGATACATAGCCAGCAAATAATTAAAAAAAAATGTCATTTTCTCTATTTTAAAGTTTCCCACAGTCATCACAGTCATTAATAGTGCCAATACTGTTCAAATTGCAAATTGTTTCTAAAATTAGAGACAGTTTCTTAAGTGAGAGCTGTGTAAAATGAAAAGAAATCTAGGTGCTCATTTTCAATATAGAAGATAATAAGCACGTGTTCCTGGGAATTTGATCACACTGTGGACCTTGAGATTGTGGTCTTTAAATAAAAGCAAAAATAGGACCAATGGCAGAGTAAGCAACCAATGACCTGACGTAACGATAGAGTGTGATGGCAAGTTGGGAGGTTGGAGAATGAGAGGCACAGTAAGTTGAAAGGAGGGACATCTGGTTGGAGTAGTTTTGTTTTCTGAGTGAGTGGGAGAGAAGCTCCTTTTGAGAGGACTGCTGAGGAGGATGGTCACCTGTCTGTCTTCTTGCTTTGCATCCCTGACTTAAGAGGTTTTTACCCCAGCATCTGACTCCCAAGTCTTTCTTGATAAAGCAAAAGGATAGAGACTTACTTGGAAAAACACTTGTCTCCTTACAGGAAGGCCCATGAAACACTCTCAGAATGCAGACTGAGGTGTCAGCAGCATTGGAGAAACAGTCAGCACCTTGGACATCGGGGTATAGCTGCTATACAGCAGCTATATAAACAACATGGCTCTCTAGAGACAATTAATTGATAGAATATATTATAAAATTACATTGTTTTAACTGATAGGGCTTGAAAGAAGTGGCCATCTGCATGCTGATGAAGTTGGAACTCACTAGCTATTCACTCCACAAAGTTGGATGACTCAGGATTCTCAATCACTGAAAAGTCAATGGTACTCACTCCACATTGTAAGCTAGGGTTTTATTTCTATGGATGATTGTAGTAGCAGAAGCAGTTCTCACAGCAGCACTAATAGTTTGAATAGACATAGCAAGGAGCAAAGGTAGGTAAACAAAATTGAGTTTTTCCTTAGACATCTTTATATCTGTTCTTTTTAAACTTCGTACATGGATATAATGTTTGTTGATGAAATCTACCCCACATACTCTCCTTTACAATTTTTTACCACAGTTTATATTACTAACTTCATAGGAACTTTTAAAAAGCACATTCAGAATATTTAGTGTTAGTGGTATGTACATGAACTATAGTATAAATTGCCTCTAAGGAACCAAATTCTTGAAGAAAATAACTCCTTTCCCATGATGCTAGCTATTTTCCAATAACTTCTCAGACAGTGGGGGATATTACAAGCCCTTCCAGCACCCATACGTGCTGGATTTGGGCTGGCTTTGTTTTGTGCAGGTCATATGCATACAGTCACAGATACTGTGTGTTTAGCCATATGTACAACTGTTCTGTCTTGTTTGGTAAACACTGACTATTTAGTAAAATTCCCATTACATTGGGCTTTTACATTCTTTATATTTCCTTTATAATGGTTATGCCCCAGCCTTGGGGCAAGGGAGTACAATACAGATCTTACACAGTGATGAGAGTCCCAACTTTTTTTTAATTCTCTATACATGACTAGTCATGAGTTTCTGCATGAACCACCATCTTCAGTGAAAAGGAAGTTTTTTGATGAGAGCTGTGAGATATACTAATTTTAGTAAACTGGGTCCATTTAGCAGAACAATAATATTGGATATTTCAAGCCAGCCTATTTATATTTTCACTGCTAATAGGAAGGAACCACATATTCTGAGGGAAAAGAATCTTACCTTGGTCATTTTATTTTCCAAAGTATGTCTGTCTTAGTAGATTATAAGAACAGACTGATAATAAAAAGGTACCATTATAGTAAATATTTTCATACCAAAAGAGATAGATGTTGCCACACAAAAGAAAGGCAAGACCAAAATAAAATCAAGCATGTAAGAAAGACAAGCAAGCAAACAAACAAACAAACAAAAAACATATGTGGCATTTGAGGCTGAGGATGACATCATTTGCATTGTCTTACACAGCTTCTCCCCTTCATCTTCCTTGCTGCAAGCTCTTAGTCATAGAGGCTCTTTTCCTTGATTGTAGATTTCCTGGATAGATGTCTTTTGTCTACGTGAGGTTTATATATAGCTACTAGATATTTTAAAATGTGTCAGAAAACTTAGGTAAACAGACTATTTAGATATTACATATATCTTCACTTGCAAAACTGACTCTACTGTTTCGGTACCTCTTTCACAACATCCCTCTGTTATTGTCTTGACATAGTGATGATGATTGCTCTCAACATAAAAGCAGTTGTCATGAACAGCATACCTTTTTGAGGTTGAAAAGGATGGTGTATCTTCACATCTCTGTTCCAGTTAAATGTGACAATGCTGTCACAAATTATCTCATATTTACAAATAGTATCAGTATCTAATTGTGTGTTTAATTAATCTGTGGGTAGGTGGATGAAAGACTATAATACTTAGACTTCAGCCAACAAAGTCACTTTTATCCAATCAAACTACTTGGGAAACTACATTAAATAATGATGTATCTCCTATTATAAAAAGTCACTAATTCTTAAGATCAGGAAAATGGGAATTAGCTTACCACAGGACCCGGCAATACCCCTCTTAGGCATATATCCAAAGGATTCACATCCATGCAACAAAGACATCTGTTCAACTATATTCATAGCAGCACTATTTGTAATAGCAAGGATCTGGAAGCAACCTAGATGCCCCTCAATTGAAGAATTGTTAATGCAGATGTGGCACATCTACACAATGGAATACTACTCTGCAGAAAAAAATAATGGTATCTTGAAATTCACAGGCAAGTGGATGGCACTTGAAGAAACCACCCTGAATGAGGTAACCCAGTCACAAAAAGAGGAACACAGTATGTACTCACTTATATATGGATTTTAGACCTAGATCAAAGGATCAGCAGCCTATAATTCACACCACCAGAGGGTGAGAGACAGAGAGGGAAAAAGAAAACAAATAATAATAATTTTTAAAATAGTCAATTTGGAATGAAACAATCTTGTCTATTTCACAAGTTGAAGAAAATTTAAATATTTCAAATACGAGAAACCAGAAAATACTTTTAGTTCAGATTCAAAATAATAGGTTTTATATGTTTTTGTCATTGTGGATCTAGTTTCTCTCATAAAATATACATTTTTTCTAGGTCTATCCATTTCTTCATGATTAAATTTCCCTTTAGAGCTGAATATAACTTCATAATGTACATATTCCATGATTATTTTATCCAGTTACCATTGAGGAATATTTAGTTTTGTTTTCCATCTCTGAGCTATTGTGAATAAAGTAACAATGAACACAGCTGAACATGTTTCTGTAGAGTAGGCTGTCAATTCTTTGTGTATATACCATAACTATTTCATATGATAAAATTTTATTTATTTATTTATTGAGATTATAATGTAAATAAACCATTTATTCCCTCCCTTTCTTCCAGGATCCCTACTTCAACCTACCCTTTGAAATAATTAACTTATTTTGATTGCTTAAAGTTACATATAAACTTTGGCATTAAGTAGGTAATAGATGCAGAACCAAAAAACAAAACCACCACAAGATGGGAAGAACATGTGGAGAAGGCTTTTGCTTGTCCTTTAGCAATTGGCAACCTCAGGATGGTGGCAATGATTTTGCTGTATGATGTTAGTATTAATATGAAAGGGATTGCAGCAAGCAAAATAGCCAATACATAGACATACAACTCATTAATAGAAGTATCTCCACAAGCCAGCTTAAGTATAGGGGGTATGTCACAAAGGAAGTGGTCTATCTGGTTAGAGTTACAGAAAAGTAGAGAGAATATCTGACAGGTTTGCCCTAGCTGAAATGGCATTCCACCAGTACAGGAGCCCACTGCAAGCTGTATGCACTTTGTTGAGTTCATGACAAGTTGATAATGCAGAGGATTACAGATGGCCACATAGCGGTCATAGGACATCACAGTCAGGAGAATACTTTCAGTAGCTGCCAACATTAGGAAAAAACACATTTGTGTAGCACAGGTCAGAAGAGAAATGCTTCTATCCTGGGTCCAAATGCTATACAGAATCCTAGGGACAGTAACTAATACATAACAGATTTCCAGAAAAGAAAAATTTGCTAGGAAAATACATGGGTTTCTGTAGTGCAAGATCAATCCTGATTATCATAATTATGAAGCTATTTCCAATTAGGATAATTAAGTACATTGTGAAGATCATCCCAAACAGAAAGTCCTGGAGGTTGGGAAGATCAGAAAATCCAAGGAAGAGAAACTGTGTCACTGTGGAAGCATTGACTTCTTCCATGATGTCTGTTGTATCTCTGAAGATGATTCATCCAGAAGTACAGTTTCTTATCCTTATTTTTATCATTTAAGAAGATAGGTTTTTATACATGCATGTTTTTTTGGTTCTGTTTATGAATACATATAAAATTATTCAATGTTTAAATGTGATTTTCTAAATTTCTTTTATTCTGATAGTTTTCTATATGTGCTGTTTCATCTCAAAATTAATAATTAATTGAGCACCAGATTTGATGAGATTCTATTATACAGTTAAAAGTTTTGGAAGTTCTCCAGCCTATAATTCACACCACCAGAGGAACTAGGATACAAGGTGTATTCTAAGAGATTCATATAAAGTCCCTCACAGAACCGGGAAGGGACAAGTACCCCAGAGCACAGGAGAAGTGGGGGGGCAGCGAATGGAGAGAGAAGTAGGAGAAAACAAGGGGGAGGAAAGGAAAACACGTGCAACTAGGAAGATAGAGCCCGGTTAGAAATAGAAGACAGGAGAGAGAGAGAGAGAGAGAGAGAGAGAGAGAGAGAGAGAGAGAGAGAGAGAGAGAGAGAGAGAGAGAGAGAGAGAGAGAGAGAGAGGAGAGAGAGAGAGAACATAAAAGAGGGAGCCAATATTGGTTTGAAGATAAAATTGAACACAAAGAAAGGTAAAGAGAACTACAAGACTGCTGCCAACTAACAATTTGAGCATCCGTGGAAAGGCTATCATAAATGCCCTTCCTGGAGAGTGAGATCAATAACTAACTTATCCATGGATCCCTCAACTAATGCCTGTTGGAAACAGGAGCAAATACCCATACATAAACACTGAGTTGAAGTAGAACCCAGATGCAGATGGAGAGGACAAGACCAGGCAGGAGAAACACATAGAGACAGCTTACCTGAACAAGGAGGAGCTAATGGGCCACCAGACTGATAGCTGGGAAGCCAGCATGGGACTGACTCAGGCCCTCCTGAATATGGGTCTCAACCAGAAGGACTGAGCAGTCTAAGGAACCTCAGACAGTGGAGCCAGGATGCATCCCTGGTACACAAAAGGACTTTGCAAACACATCCCCCATGGAGGGATAACTGCCTTAATCTAGAGACAGGAGAGATGCCCTAGTCCCTAATTCAAATGACCTGTCAGATCTACATGACAGCAACTGGATGGCATTTCCCTACATATGGAATTGGGGTAGGGGGGGTGGGAGGGGAGGGTGGTTAGAGTGCATGTGAGAGGGCAGAGAGTGTAAAAGGGTGGGAGGGAGGAAAGAAGGGAGGGAGGGAGGAAGAGGGACCTGGGATCGACATGTAAAATAATAAATTAAATTAAGAAAAAATGCTTTGACTCCAAAATTTAAGTTCAAGGACAAGTTACTGGGGAAAAGGATTTCTATTCTTGTTTGCACAGAAAATGAAAAGATGTGGATTCCTGATCAAGCCAGACTGCCTGAAACAGAGTACCAGGTGATCCTACATTCAAAACAGCTGGACAAAGCAGCCTTACAGACTACAGCCAGGATTTCTGAATCTTCTTCGAATCCTCCATGATAGCACCCCTTACCAGCAGGAAGTAGTTTGGAAAGAACGATGCCCAAATTCCCAAATATTGTCTATAAATGTTTGTTTTCATTTAAATGGACTTTGTTATATAAAATAAATTAAAAAAAAGAAAAAAATGCTATCTTTTCTGAAACTGGTTTTAACTAGCACATTTACTTACCTATGGACAAAATAAATTACTTGTATGACTTTAGTCATAACTTTTATGGCTTTAGTGAATAAAAAAACATTTTTATACATACACATGAATTACACATTGAATATTTAAGGGTAGTAAATGATATTTTACAGTAGTTATTAATATGGATAAGTTTCAGGTTTCAGAGAGATGTTTGAAATGGAAAACCAAATTTAAGAAAGCCAAGAATCTTTTGAATAAGGTATTTGTTGAACAACAGAGTGAATATAGTTAATACTACATTGTTATGTTCTTTAAAATTGCTGATTATAGATACTAAATAATTTGTCTAAAAACTGTCAAGTACCTGATGTAGTGAACAGATTAGATTGTAAAGTATAATGTTTTATAAAATATGTGTTCTAGTTCTCAAAATATGTTCTTTTCTAAATTGGTTAGACTATTAAAACTTTTATCTTCTCCAGTTATGTACATAATTTTAATGCATTTATACATATGAGCATTTTATACAACTTTTCCTAATTGGTATAGTCTCCAAAGAAGGAGAGAATGGGGACAACTGCGAGAGACTACTGCCCTTGGACATAGTCCTTAGAGACAAAAGTTAAAATAACCCAATGACACAACCAAACAGCTTTGGTCACTGACTAAGGTATGTTACAATGAACATATTTCTGAGGTTGAACACACTGTGCATCTCAGAGAGAAAATATATTTTAATGAATAAGAAGTAATTTCCTTCCTAAATTTCACTATAGGTGAGTTAAAGTATGTGCTTTAATACATAGAGAAATGGCTGGCTTTATAATTTGAAAACATAAATGGAAATATAAACTATATGATATAAGACAATTCTTCTGAAAATTAGGATAATATATTTATTTTCTCAGCACATATAAAAGGAAAGTAGTATTTGCATCTCATACTTAATTATTGTACATTTTCTGGCTTCATAATGAAATCCTATCAAACAAAATGAAAGCTTCTTTTTTTCAAATCAAGTGGTTTCATTAGACTGGTTTTCTTAATTTTGAATGTAACAGTCACACATATAAAGGAATTATGTCTAAATCTTATAGTTGGAGTGAGATTTTAAATGGAATTATTTTGTGATTGAAAAATAGTTTGGTATTCCTTAAAGTTAATTGCTATTATTAAGAATATAGAAACCAAAATAGCGTTTTATATTTTTTTTCTATAATGTAGGACTATGAACTCTGGCAGAATAAAGCTGAGATAGAATTCATCTGGGCTTTCCACAGTATGTAGGTTATTTAAGTACTCTGTTCTTCAGCTACTCATAAAAAAATAGCAAATGACACTAGTTTTGGTACATTAAATAGGACACACAAAGAACTTAAAGAATAGCATTTACTAAATAAGAAATGTTCAAAAACTGTCAGTAGAAGGGCAAAATATGATTAATAATATGTTTCTTACTTTTCTTTAAATTTATCCTTAATACCCATAAAAGAGTAAAGCAAATAATCAGTGAAGGTTGATGTGTTGTTGATGGAGAAAACATATTTTCCATAAGAATACTGTAGGAACCATAGTTCCCAGTTTGAAGCTGCCAAGAAATCACTATTTTTGCTTTTTTGACTTAAAAATTCTATAAAATTATTCTGAGGATATTGTATTTTATACTGTGACTTTGGTTACATATTTGATATTTTTTGTATTTTTGGAACCAAGTCTACTTCTCGTATGAGATGAAAATTTTCAAAAGAGTATTTTCTTAGTTGTGGTTAAATCTTCATGTAATTTATTGTATTGCTGCTTTCTCTTAGCTTAGTATTTCTGCTGATCTCTAACTCTTTTTACTCTCATAAAATGAGGATGAGAGGATTTATAAGAGTGGGCTAATAGCATGGGCTAAAATGATATTGAGAAATGTAGTAGCTGTAAGAACAGCAATAAAATCAACACCTACTGAGATTATAGCTGTATTTTCCAGATCAGATAGTTCATAGACTAGGCTGTTTCTGTACCAAAATAACCACTTGACATGAAAAAAAGGCAAGTACTAAATATTTCAATAAGAATGTTGATACATTAGGATGTCTAAATTACATTGTAAATCACTCAATGTTAATTTTTTTTTCAGACTGCCATTGAAGTCAGTGAAGCACCATTATTGCAGTATATATAGTTTCTCATTTTAGAGTAATTTGTATCAGTCTATATTAGACAAATATCATACACAGAGGCACACACAGACACACAGACTCAACCTCCCCTCGCACACTAGTCTAGTTATAAAGTTGAAAGGAAGAATGGAACAGTGAAATTCTAGATACTGGAACTGGATGATACTTGTGATACAGTTCTTTTTTTTTTTTTTTTTTTTTTTTTTTTCTCTGTATGTTTGGTTTCTTTTTACATTTTAGTTTTGCAAAATCCTCAACTTTGGTGAAGAGTCTTTCAAAGTGTCAAAACATTGATACAGATAGAATTGATAAGAATAGTGGGGACCGTGAAAGGATTCAGTAGATGTTACAAAAACTATTTTTTCACCCTCATAGTATTCAGGAAATGTGATATATTATGTTTCATTATCTCTGCTATGTTTTTACAGAAATGTAATGGAGTATATTGTATAACACAGGCTCACTTTTGTTATCATTGTCTATGTTCCTTCCCTCATGGTTCGTTTTACCAGAGCACTATTATTGTTACTGAGTGACCACTCAACTCTTACTTGAGATGTTACTCAGAGAAAAAGCTTTTTAGCTCAATGAGAAAGTTTGCCAAGAGCAAAAATGTGTTAAATGGTTTCCATGATTTTTAAAAAAAATGCAAATAATTAAAAGAAAACATAGAGCATACTCACCAGGGAAGAGATGCCTTTCTCAGCTGCTTAGAGTGAAAGGATAGACAGTCTGAATAACTGAGATCTGTTTTCCTATTTTGGCTTGTGACAAACTGTCAAATTGTATTACAAGAAGGAAGAACAGATTTTAAATATGTTTTTTTAATCCCATAAAAATTTAGGAAATGAGATTACATTGGTTTGTGAATAACTGAAGTAAATAAATAAAACTGGACATCTCATCTCTATCTGTGGATTTGACACTTTTGGTATGTCACATTTTTTTCCTGATCTCCATGGAGTAAGTTACTTCTAACCTGGATACTAATCATACATAGATGGATCCACACTACCAACCCATCAACTAAAGAACCACTCCACGTTAGTGGAATTCATCTTACTTGGCTTTTCTGATATTCCCAATTTGCAAGGATTTCTTTTTGGAATGTTCTTGATAATCTATCTAATTATTGTGATGAGCAACAGCCTCATCATCATAATTACTACGACTGATCCTTCCCTGCAGACCCCCATGTACTTTTTCCTTGGAAACTTTTCTTTTTTAGAAATATGTTATGTGTCAGTCACTCTCCCCAGATTATTAACAAATCTCTACAGACAAGACAAAAGCATTTCCTTTATGGCTTGTGCTACTCAAATGTATTTCTTTCTTGTTTTGGGGGTCACTGAGTGCTTTATTCTGACTGTTATGGCTTATGACAGATATGTTGCCATTTGCAACCCTTTGCTCTACCCTCTCATCATGAACAGTAGTTTCTGTATACAGTTGGCAGCTGGCTGCTGGGTAAGTGGAGTTCCTGTGCATATAGGTTTTACATATTGGATCTTCTCTCTACCGTTTTGTGGTTCAAATGTGTTGGATCACTTCTTCTGTGACATACCTCCAGTAGTGACCCTAGCTTGTGGTGACACTTTTAAGATAGAGATACTGATCTATGTGATTGCCCTTTTCGTGGTCACTATTCCTTTTTTGCTGATTCTTGGATCTTACGTGAAAATAATCTCAACAATTCTGAAGCTTCCATCTACAAATGGGAGAGCCAAGGCCTTCTCTACATGTTCTTCCCACCTTATAGTTGTAGCTTTATTCTTTGGATCAGGTATCATTACATATTTGAGGCCGAGGTCTAACCATTCAGCAAGAACAGACAAATTCCTTTCTCTTTTTTATACAGTTGTGACACCAATGTTTAATCCCTTGATATACTGTTTGAGAAATAAAGATGTTATGATTGCATTTAAAAAGTTCTTCCAAAGATGTAATATGTTATGATTCAAAAAGCATGCTTTATTTTATATACTTCTTATTTTTTGAAATATCAATTATTTATTGCCATCTTTCTTACCCTTGCCATATACCACTCCCCTCACTTTCATAGCCCCACTTTCTTAGTGTTAAATATAGATCTACATACATAAAAACAGAATAACACATGCTCTGTATTTTTTTTTTTCATGAATAATGTTTCAACAATCTGGATGTTTGAGTGAGTTTGAATGAGTGCCCATGTTTTTTCTATTACACAAAACCAACTCAGTGTTTATTGTTTTAGCAGATTAATTCCAAAATTAAGTTCTATTTATGTACACATCTAATTTCAAGAGTGGAGTTATCAAAGGATTTTTTTTCATGACTTGACTCCAAAATAATGGCTATATCTACTAGATGCTGCACTGCTTGGTTTGGTATCAACTTGACACAAGCTAGAGTTATTTCTTCAGCTGAGGAAATGCCTCCATTAACAGATCTAAAGCACTTTTGAGTTCCTGCCCTGACCTCCTTTGGTGATGAACAATATTGTGGAAGCATAGACTTAATGAACACTTTGCTCTACAAATTGCTTTTTTTTGGTTATACTGGTTTGTCCCAGCAAGAGAATCCCTAAATAAAGCATGTACTTACTCCATTACAATGTTGAAATGAACTAGATATGAATAGGTAAAACTCAACTATTAATGATTTTTATGCCTTGATTAATGATTACTTCATAATCATGTAATTCTATTACAGAAAGATCAAGCTCCAGTTGACATTAAGTATATTTATGTTAAAGACAATTACAATTCTTCTGTTGAGTAGCCTATTGCCATACACAGATGATGGCTATTGTTTTACAGATGGACATGATTTCACACACCTTTAATTTCAGCACTCTGGAGGCAGAGACAGGTAGATCTCTGAGTTTAAGGTCAGCCTAGAATATAAAACAAGTTCCAGGACATTCA